CAGTAAAGGTAGCAAGAGGCTGGTAAGAGTCTCCGTCAACACACACCGCAGTCTCTCCAGAAGGCTCAAACCACACACCCACGTGCTGACTCACGAGGGGTCGCACGCCCACCAAGTTCCGGGAGAACGAGGGGACGTGAAACCCAGTGAGAGACCCGGAGGGAGCAGCAGGACACGGTAAAGTGGTAGTGTGACGTGCAGTGACTGGTCCCGTAGTGGGATCAGACAACGCCACAGAAACAGGCGCAGGAAGTGGTGTAAGCGTCGTGCTGTCACGGAAGAAGCAGTGTGAGGCTCCAGAGTCCAGCGTGAACGACAGTGAAGCGTCCCCTGAGGTAGTCGCTGGTGACGCTGCTGCTGCTACAGCCAGCCGCTGACGCTGCTGCTGCTGAGGCTGCTGGGAGGAAAGGGGCTGCTGCTGCTGCTGAAGGTGCTGCTGACGCCGAGCCTGGTACCACGCCGCTGCTCCACCTAGCGGGGCCGGTAGTACAGGAGGCGACTGACGAGCTCGGGGGTCGCCGCCACCAGTAGGCGCAGTGGAGTCACCAGCCGCTGCACGAGGGGTCTCTCCAGACGCTGCACTCCCACCACCGCCAGTCGCAACAGCACCCCCACTACCTCCGCTACCTCCGCCTCCACCTCCACCAGAACCACCTGTCTTGCCCCCCCTGCCGCGGGACCGCGACGCAGTCGTAACAGCAGCCGCAGTCGCGTCAGTAGCGGCAGTGGCGAGAGAGGCAGTGAAGGTGGGTAACTGCGGGACTGTGCACCCGTGGAAGAGTGGGGGGGACGCAGTACCAGAGGCGGCAGCTACCGAGTGAAGGTTGCTCTCGACGTCCTTGAGTGCAGACTCAAGGACCTCGATAGTCAGCTCACTAGGGTGCTTCAGCAGAAGCGCGTCACGAACGGAGGCAAGGCGGTCAGGGAGGCTAGTGGCGATGAAATAGACAGTAATCGCCATGGGGGGAGGAAGCAGTGCAAGCTGTGCCTCAGTGCAAGCAGCGCGGTAACTAGCGTCGAGAGAGCGGAGGTGAGCGATCAAGTCAGCAGAGCGCTCAAACGAGGCGAGATCAGGAAACAGGAACGGGAGGAAAAGACGGCCAAGAGAGACAGTAGCGGGAGTAGAGTAGCGGGCCTTAATCGCAGTGAGGTACGCAGCAGCGGTGCGAACCTGAGTAAAGTGGACCTCCTCGGACTCAGGGAGGAGGCTGCTGAGTGCGATGCAGGCCGCAGCGTCACGCGACGTCCAAGCCGTCCGGTCAGCGCGCTGCCGGGCAAAGCGAGCCGTAGCAGCGTCGTCAGGGGCAGGGCCTAAAGCTGTAGGCTCGGGGGGCTCGGGGAGGTCACCAGTAGCGTGCGACCAGAGGGTCTCGCCCCCCTGGACCTGACTCTCTAACAGACGGCGAGCGCGAAGAAGCCAGACGGAAAAGGCAAGGGGTCTACCGTCAGCGTCGAAACGAAGAACTCGCGGAGTCGCCATAGAGAGAACTAACGCGAACGAACAGGCGAGTAACAACCGGGGGGAAGAGGACTCAGTCGCAGCGGAAGAGCGGGCTAGGGCGACGGGCCAGGGCGTAGGGTAGGGCAACGGGCCAGGGCGTAGGGTAGGGCGACGGGCCAGGGCTTAGGGTAGGGCGACGGGCCAGGGCGTAGGGTAGGGCAACGGGCCAGGGCGTAGGGTAGGGCGACGGGCCAGGGCTTAGGGTAGGGCGACGGGCCAGGGCGTAGGGAAGGGCGACGGGACGGGGGGGAAAGGGCGGGCACGACGCGACGGGGGGAAAGGGCGCGACGCGACGGGGGGAAAGGGCGCGACGCGACGGGGGGAAAGGGCGCGACTCGACGGGGGGGGGGGGAAGGGCGCTAGGCGACGGGGAGAAAGGGCGCTAAGTGACGGGGGGAAAGGGCGCTAGGCTCGGTACTAGGCGCGGTAACAACGGAACTGGTACGAACGAGAGGTAGGATCAGGCTCGGGAGGTACGAACGGAGAACGGAGGAACGGGATCCCACAGGATCCTAACCTAGCTGATACCATGTCAAAATGAGGAATGAATGTTCCATTGATGTTGGTTGGGGTACATATAACAAACCCTAACTTCTGTACCCCCTAAGACAAACCTCACTACAGGCTACAACATTTGACAGTTGATGCATCAGGGTCCCTGTGAAAAAATGCCTGCTTTTTCAGGGTTCCAAAAAAAAAACCTGAATTTTCAGGGTTCCCAAAAACAAAAGCCTGAATATTCAAATTTAACATGCAATTAGGAAGTACTCTTACCGAACTCGGACCGCAGACCTACTCATCCTGTGTGGATTTAGCTAACCACTGAGACATTTCAGCCTGTCAGCTGTCAATATGTTCGTAATATATATTAAAAAAGTAGAAATCTTGGTCTCTCGGGTGTCTTACGGGAAGGATATTGAATGTGCATTCAGTGTACACTTCGATAAAAGTCTGAAACATCAGTGTTAGCTGTGACATAAAGCCTGAAAATATCAGTGTCCCAAAAATCTCAACACTGAAAAATCAGGGGAGGTACACAAAACTAGGCTGAAAATCAGGAATTTCAGGGGAAAATTCCTGATATCGTAGGGCCTGTCCCCAGAACGCATGTTCGTTTTGCACTAACCATCCCCAGCACGCATGTTCCGTTTTGCACTAACCATCCCCAGCACGCATGTTCCGTTTTGCACTAACCATGCCCAGCACGCATGTTCCGTTTTGCACTAACCATGCCCAGCACGCATGTTCCGTTTTGCACTAACCATCCCCAGCACGCATGTTCCGTTTTGCACTAACCATCCCCAGCACGCATGTTCCGTTCCGCATGTGAGACCACTGAGCCAGGGGGGGTGTGAGACCACTGAGCCAGGGGGGGTGTGAGACCACTGAGCCAGGGGGGGTGTGAGACCACTGAGGAGACAGCAAGGGTGTGAGACCACTGAGGAGACAGCAACCCAGAGGGAAGGCTGACTCAGTGCCGCAATGAGTTCATTTAGTAATGCGTTCAGCGTTGACTCAGCGTCGACTCAGTAGTCCTTGGTACGGAAGATGGCCAGTAGCCGTGCCGCCTGCACACGACAACACGGGGACACGCATAGGAGAAGGGTGGAGAGGTGGGTTGGGGGAAGGTGGAATTTTAAGCCGCCTCAAACCCTGTTGTGCCGCCTGCACAGGACAAGACAAATCACGCATGGGGGAGAAAGTAAGGAGGTGGGTGGGTGGGCGGGGGTGGGTTTTTGAGGCACCACAAGAGCAGCTGTGTCGCCTACACACGACAACACTGGGTCACGCATGAGGGAAGGGTGGAGAGGTGGGTGGGGGGGGGCGGTTGGAGGGTGGGTTGGTGGGTGCATTGGATGGTGAATGAGGGTTGATTTAGCTAGGCTGTCGCAGAGAAGATATGAGAAAGCGAAATGCCTCATCCCCCTCTCATGCCCTATCCCCTCTCATGCCCTATCCCCTGTCATCCCCTGTCATGCCCTATCCCCTGTCATCCCCTGTCATGCCCTATCCCCTGTCATCCCCTGTCATGCCCTATCCCCTGTCATCCCCTGTCATGCCCTATCCCCTGTCATCCCCTGTCATGCCCTATCCCCTGTCATCCCCTGTCATGCCCTATCCCCTGTCATCCCCTGTCATGCCCTATCCCCTGTCATCCCCTGTCATGCCCTATCCCCTGTCATCCCCTGTCATGCCCTATCCCCTGTCATCCCCTGTCATGCCCTATCCCCTGTCATCCCCTGTCATGCCCTATCCCCTGTCATCCCCTGTCATGCCCTATCCCCTGTCATCCCCTGTCATGCCCTATCCCCTGTCATCCCCTGTCATGCCCTATCCCCTGTCATCCCCTCTCAGTACCCATTACCCCTTGCCTTCCCCCTTGCCATTACCCCTTGCCATTACACCTTGCCCTCTCCTTTTGCCCTAACCCTTGTTCATTCCCCCTTTGCCCATTCCCCCTTGCCCATTCCCCCTTGCCCATTCCCCCTTGCCCATTCCCCCTTGCCCTTCCGCCATGCCCATTCCCCCTTGCACATTGCCCCTAGCCCATCCCCCCTTGCCCATCCCCCCTCGTCCATCCCCCCTTGCTCATCCCCCCTTGCCCATTTCCCCATATTGCCCATTCCCTCTAGCCCATTCCCCCTTTGCCATTCCCCCTTGCCTTTTCCGCTTTGCCAAATCCTCCTAGCCCAATCCCCTTGCCCATTCCCCCTTGCCCATTCCCCCTTGCCCATTCAACCTTGCCCAATCCACCACACACCCCCGAGCCCTAGAGGGCCTTCATCTCACACCCACTCACCACAGCAAACATCTATCCCAGCCGAGCACACCCAGTGATAACTGCAGCACCCCCAAGCCCTGGAGTGGCCCAGGTGAGATAAGCACACACTGGGGCGTGGGCCGCCTTATGAGGCGCCTAAGAAGTCCCCAGGCCAGGTAAGCCCACACTGGGTCCAGCCTTTTCTAACGTGCGAGGTGTTGGAACTTGTTGGGTACAAAAAGCCGTGTTGGGTACAAAAAGCCGTGTTGGGTACAAAAAGCCGTGTTGGGTACAAAAAGCCGTGTTGGGTACAAAAAGCCGTGTTGGGTACAAAAAGCCTTGACTTGCCATTTAAGTTGGTGTTGGCCTCACATATGGACGCGTTTTGTTTGGTAGTCCAGCCATGGGGTGTGTATATGTGTGCGCGTGCTTGCGCGTTTGTGCGTTTGTGTGTGTGTGTGTGTGTGTGTGTGTGTGTGTGTGTGTGTGTGTGTGTGTGTGTGTGTGTGTGTGTGTGTGTGTGTGTGTGTGTGTGTGTGTGTGTGTGTGTGTGTGTGATCTCATCCCTCAATGTCGGGTCCTCAGCCAACATCAGCAGCGCCGCCACCGCATTTTCCCCTGGTGCCCGTTCCCAGCAGTACCCTGAATCATCACCAGCTCACCTTCACCCGTGCGTGCTCGCGGTGTGCCACAACGCTACAGCCCTCCCAGCGTCGGCAGCACCCCTCCCCCACGATCTCATCCCTCAGCAGCGGATCTTCCACCAGCAAACGTGCTACCCCTCCCCATCCCTCCTCCCAGCAACAACTCACCTTCACTCTCGCTCTCGGCGTCCCACACCGCTGCAGCACACCCACGTGGCAGCACCCCCTCCGCTGCAATCTCATCTCTCAATGCCGGGTCCTCAGCCAGCATCAGCAGCGCTGCTACAGCTTCCTCCTTGCCCCCCTCCGACCCACGCCACACTCCATTGCCCCCCTCCGACCCACGCCACACTCCATTGCCCCCCTCCGACCCACGCCACACTCCATTGCCCCCCTCCGACCCACGCCACACTCCATTGCCTCCACCTCAACTCACCTTCACGTTGCTTGTAGATTTTGAAGATTCTAAGTCAGCAGCAGCAGTAGCGCCCTTCCCAGCCGCCACCAAACAGCAACTCACCTTGACCCAGCACCCTTCCCGTGCCCTTGGCGTGCCACAGCGCTGTATTGCTCCCAGAGTGGGCAGCACCCCCTCAGACGCGATCTCATCTCTCAATGCTGGATCCTCAGCCAGCATGAGCAGCGCTGCCACCGCGCCCTCTTTCCCACTTGTACCCTTCCCGTGCAGTACCCTTCCCCACCCCACTTGACCAACAACAACTCACCTTCACTCGCGCTCGCGGCGTGCCCAGCGCTGCAGCAAACTCAGAGTGGGCAGCACCCCCTCAGCCGCAGTCTCATCTCTCAATGCTGAATCCTCAGCCAGCATGAGCAGCGCTGCTACCGCTTCCTCCTTGCCCCTCTCCAACCCACACCACGCCGAGTTGACTTTTGAGTCGACTCAAAAGTCTTTTGAGTCGACTCAAAAGTTCCTCCTTGCCCCTCTCCAACCCACACCACGCCGAGTTGACTTTTGAGTCGACTCAAAAGTCTTTTGAGTCGACTCAAAAGTTCCTCCTTGCCCCTCTCCGACCCACACCACACCACACTCCATTGCCGCCACCTCAACTCACCGGCACGTTGCTTGCAGGTGGGTTATGACAAGTCTCAGTATCACCTGCGCCAGCGTCACCACCCCTCCTACATTCCCCCCGCCCCCCCCCCCAGTCCCCTATCAACAACTCACCTTCACTCGTGCCCTTGGCGTCCCGCACCGCTGCAAGGCACCCAGTGTAGGAAGCACCCCCTCCGCGGCGATCTCATCTCTCAATGCCGGGTCCTCAGCCAGCATCAGCAGCGCCGCCACCGCGTCCTCTTTGCCCCTCTCCGACCCACACTCCATCGCCTCCACCAATAGCGGTATCCCGCCCGCCGCCCGGATCGCCGCCCGCCCCAGCCGCCCGGTTTTCCCCAGGTTCACCAGCACAGCCGTGGCTTTTTCCTCCAGCCCGGACCCGTACTCCTGCAGCATCTCCACCAATAGGGGCACTGCCCCGGCGGAAATTATCGCTGCCCGGTTTTTCTCGGCCAATGAGAGGTTGAAGAGGGTCAGGGCGGCGTCTTTTCGGCTGCGGATGGAGTTGGGGGAGCCGGAGGATGAGGAGGAGACGGCGAGCATGGCGACCAATCCCGTGACGGCACCTGGCGTCGACCCAACGAGGATTTTATTCGCTTCGGAGGAGGCAGATATCGCAAAGAGGGCCGCAGCGGCGTTCTCCCGCGCGGTTCGGGAGACGGAGCGAGGCGAGAGGCTCGGCGGCATGTCCGGGTCTGCCGCCCCGGCATTCATTCCCGTGTCTCTGTTTCCAGCTGTCACTATGGTTACCAGACGGGGGACGGCACCGTGAGTGATGAGGTGGGAGTGAGTGGAGGAGGAGAGGGAAAGGTTGAGGATGGCGGTAACCGCGTGCTCTACAGTATCGGGATCGCCACATGAGAAGAGAGAGAGCAGGGCTGGGATGGCTCGCCCTCCCGCTGCTGCCACCACGGCTGCCCGGTTGCCTCGGGAATCCCGAACCAGGTGCCGAACCTCCTCGGCTGCCCTTCGCCGCTGTATGGTTAGGAACGTTGAGGCTGCCTCGCTGCCGGTGTTGCTGCCGCCCGCGCTGCCGCCCAGCATTTGCCGAACCAGATCCGGTAGCCTGGCCCGGACCTGTTCCTCCTGGTCCACCCGAGCCGCGGCGGCATCTGCTTCGGAACCCCCCGAGCCTGTTCCACCCGCCCCTGCACTACACGGCCTCCTGCTGCTGTTGCTGCCCCCCCCACCCCCACCCACACTCCCACTCCCCCCCCCACTGCCACTGCTGCTCATACTGCCGCCAGACCTATCAGTGGGGTTGGTAGCCCACCGCTTAAGCGTCCCTGCTGCGCCGTCCTCCTCCTCCTCCTCCCCGTCCTCCCCCTCCTCCGCCTCCCCATCCCCCCGCGCGCCCATGGGCGCGCACCCCACCGACCCCCCGCCCCCCCTGCTCCCCAGCATCATGACCGCCGCGCTGGCATTCAGATCCGGATCTACACCTGGATTTAGATTTAGATTCAGATGTGAGTTCGGGTTGGGGGGGGGACTGGCGCCGAAGGTGACGGCGGCGGCGGCAGCAGAGAGGGGGGAGGCGAACGCGGAGAGCGACGAGTGGCTGTGGCTGTGCGAGTGGTGCGTCTGCCGAATGCCCTCCCCGCCCCGCGCACTGCGCGCCGCGTGCCCTCCCCCGCCCCCCCCAACACCGCTACCAGCAGCGCCGCTGCTGCTGATCCCCGCGAGTTGCGGCGAGGAGATGCGGTTCGACGAGACCGACCTGCCATACGCGATTCTAGCGTCTCTGCTTGCAGCAGCGCCAGCGCCGCCTACAGCCATTGGCGCGGAGCTGGGGACGAGCGACACGGGCTCGCCCATGCTGTAGCTCTTCCCTGCATTGCTCAGCGCGTTCCGCCCGCCCCCGCCCCCCCCCCCCCTCCCCCACTACCGCCGCCGCCGCCGCTGCTGCCGCTCCTGCTGTGCGCCAAATACGCCAAAACCTGCTGGCTGCTCCTCTCCCGCTCCCTCTCCCGTTCCCGCTCGCGCTCCCTTTCCCTCTCTCTCCCCCGCTCCCGCTCCCCCTCTCTCCCGCCGCCGCCCCCCTCCGCGTCGCTGTCGTCGTCCCACGCCGCCAGCAGCGCCAGCTGGTGCCGGTCGAGCCGCTCCGAGAAGAACCGCTGCTGAGCCGCCGCCACCACCTGCTGCTGCTGGCTGCTTCCGCCGCCCCCGACGCCCCCCGCGCTCCCCTGGGCCCCCGCCCGCGCACCTGCTCCGCCAATTCCCCCACCCGCTGGCCCTAGAGCCCCCCGCCCGCTGGGCCCCACTTTCCCGCCGGCCGATTTCCCCCCTCCCGCTCCCCCTCCTCCTCCTGACCCCGTCCGGCCTCCCCCCGCTGTCGCAGCCCCGCCGGTCCGCGACGCTTGGCGCGGCTGCGGCCCGGACCAGTCGACGCGGCGCGGCTGCGGGCCGCTCCACTCGTCGCGGCCCGGGTAGTGGTTCCAGTCGTTCCACGAGTCGTGCGCGCCGTTGCCCGCGCCGAGATACGCGGGCAGCGGACTGAGCGGCGCGCGCGTGGGGCTCAGCTGCATGGAGCTAGTGGGGCTGTGCGCGGCGCCGCGGTGCGTCGGACTAACAGCGGGGTAAGTCGGACTGAAGCCGGGATGCGTGGGGCTAAGCAGGGGGTTGCTGCTACCGCCGCCGGGTAAGGCGGAGGAGGGACTGAGCGCCGCGCCGGCGCGGGTGGGGGAGTGCGTGGGGGAGGCGAGCGGGGACGACACGGGCCAGATGGGGCAAAGCGGACGATCGGAAGACGACGCGCTGCGCCAGAAATTATTTCCGCCGGTTCCGGTTCCGCCTCCCCCTCCGCCTGCTCTCCCGCCGCCCCCGCCGCTGCTGGCGCTGCTGTTCGACACTAGGCTGATGCTGCCGCTGCTTGCGCCGCTGGTGGTGCTGCTTCCGCCGCTGCTGAGGTTTCCGCTCTCCCGATCGGATGACACGCTTCCGCGCCGCTGGTGCCGCTCCCCCGAGGCTGGGCGGGCGGAGTAAGGCTCCGCGTGGCGCTCCCCCGACAGCGGGCGCGCCGACCTTTGAGATGCCTCGTAACTGTCCCCGGTCAGGGGCCGCGCGGGATACGACTCGCCGCGCGAGGCGGAACGCTCCGCGCGCGGGGCTTGCTCTCCGCGGCCAGTGTAGGAGTCGCTGCGGGGAGTCAGCACCCCGCGCGGGGAGATGGTGGGATGCGCGGAGCCCGCGTCCCCGCCAGACTTTCCGCCAGCGGCATTCTGAATAAGTTCTCCGCTGCCCCCCTTCGCGTGCCCACCTCCACCGCCGGCGGCGGCGGCGGATGGGGTAGCAGAGAGGCGAATGCCATGTCCGAGGCACCAGGCGGAAATGATGCTGCGAAGGGATTTGTTAGGGGCGACATGCAGGTCTTCGAGTGCGCAGCGGGTAGCCGGACAATAGCGGTTTCCTTCGCGAAACCATCGCTCGATTTCGTCGCGCTCGTAGGTCCGGCCCGACGCGACGGTAACCGGGTCGCGCATTATGTCGAGCGAAATGGGGCAGAAGAAATCCGCGGGGATGGTGACATTCTTGGCGCGAAGGTGCGAGATGGGGTATTTGAGGAAGGAGGGCGGAAGGGAGGCGGGGTCGGCGGAGGGCGACTGGAGCCGTGCGACGAGCTGGTTGTGCGACTGTACCTGCTGCTTCGGCGACATCGCGCGCGTTGGCGAAAGCGGTGCGTTGCCTTGTTGCGAGGCCATGGCGAAACGAGGCGGTTACGGAGAATACGGTGGCAACAGGAGGCGATGCTAGTCGACTTTTGAGTTGACTAAAAAGGCAACAGGAGGTGATACCAGTCTCGCAATGCCGCGTCAGCGCATTTTGAAGAAAGGCGAGAAGCAGCTAGTGCGAGGCGGCTCGTAGCACGCAATGCGGCGAAGAATCCCGTGAATGGAGCTCACCTGATGGAAACGACGTGAAGGGAACTACACAAATCGACGGTTATTGTAAAGGCGAGCCGGAACAGACATGTGCAGTTGCTTGCAACCAAGCAGGTCTGGCCGCGAATGGGCGTGCTCTGGAACGAAGGCTAATCTCAAAATAGGGTTGCATAATATGTAGGAATTTGGAAGCCCTTCCTATCGAGACTACAATGCGGGCGACGTATAAAGGTCGTCTGACCCTCTGGAACGCAGGCGGCAGGGTCTACTGAAGTGAAGGGTACGACGATAGTGACAGCCTGCGATTGACAAGCTTTTTAATCAGCAAAATGAGAAGCTGAACTGCCATGTTGTGCTTGCCCACGCAATCCACACCTCGAAACCCCGTTTGACAGCTGTTTGCCCCCAAAGCGTGTGTATGTGTATGCAGACACTCTTAGCTCAAGTGATTTTCAACGCTCGAGATGGAAGGTTTTTTCGAAGCACGATTAGTTGACTCTTCTCACATTTCTCACTGTGTGTTATCGTTTGTGCGAATGCATTGAGTTTTCCAACTGCTGAGACTGGCGCGGAGACTGGCGCGGAGCGAGCCCTTGGGAAAGGTCAAAGAGTCGAATAACGCGCAGAAATCGTCAGAGACCAACGGGCAGTCACGAGGGTGGAAATTTAAAACAGCCAATTGTAGTGTGAACAGAGAATACGCTGGGAATTTGATGCCGTTATGGGTTGCAAATTTGTTGCTGCAGGTCGGTCCTCAGGGGATACTTTGTGTTCTTACCCAACCAGCGCCTGACATTTCTGAAAATACTTCCACGTACAGCTCACCTGCTTCTGGCCTGTTTCGTGCCCCTTTTATTCACCCCCTTCCTCATGGAACAAATAACGAGCGGACAATTCGTCCCGTGCACTCGTACCAAAGACGTCCTGCGTTTCGTTATGTAGGCAGGTAAGAGTCAAGTTTTGGAGAAACCACATTTGTTTATGCATGCGATTCTGACTCGCAGCAGCGACCCTGGTGTTAACACAACCGCGAAACTGCTGAAACGGGCAGGATGTCGTCTCGTCGGCCAGCAGTCTGTATGAAACAGGGTGGGGTCGCACGCACAAACATCTGTTCCGCAGCTGCTCGTGTCGACTGGACTGTCCAGGATTGTTCCAGGGTCGGAACAACGTTTCATTGCCCACTGGCATCAGTGGCGGGTGACATGGCAACAAAACTCGTCATGTCGCGAGCAACCAATCCGACATTGGTTGCTCGCTGCCCACCTTGGCAACAACACAGTATTGCCTTGCCATCTATGGGATGGAACGGAATAATCGATGCCGTTAATAACGTCGATTACACCCTGTTTCTCGACCCTCTCACCTTGCGCGATTCGTTGCTACAGTGCGGTCAGGTGCCATAAACCGTATGGCTGAAACCTGCGGGCAAAGCCGCACCAGCTGACAGAGTGGTCCTGGGGGCAAAATTTTCCTTTATCGCTGTATACCCTTTTCAACCGCTTTGAAACGCTTGGTTAATGTTTTTTACCATGCAGCATCCTAGCTAACCGCTTTCTTGTGAATGTGCTTGTACCGTCGGTGATAAGACCATTTCAAACGTGGTGACGTTCTACAACCAGTGCATGTTCTGCAACCAGATGCTCTGCTAGCGCGAAACAGGGTGTAGTTACCCTGTGAATCTGATGCTAAAAACAGTGAAACTCTTGGGGAAATCCGAATGCTGTACTGAGTGCTGTCCGGTTTCTGTGCAACATTTTCTGCACACATGCCAGAAACAAGTGTCAAGAAGGAACAATGCTGTGATCATTTCAGAATGAGTGAGCGAATTTGGCACTTTACAACAGACTGGTTGCTTCGCTGGTCTCCCCGCATTGGCAACGAATGGTCAGATGATGTTTCTTCAGCCCGACAAGACCATTTGACTGTGCCTTAGGGAAAATTCGTGGCCCGTGTCAGACTTCAGGTCAAAAGCCCTTAGTCTCCAATTTGGCTCATCCGAACTCGGATTTGCCTCACAAACGAGCCACTTGGGGTCTTCTGAACCTCCACTCCGGGTCTGACCTGAAGTCTGACACGGGCTACGAATGCGCCCTTAGGACAATTTCGTAACTCGTTTCAGACACGAAGTGGAGGCTTGGATGGAGTTCGGAAGCTTGCCTGAGTTTGAGGTCACTTCGGGTCTTCCTCAACTTCACTTCGTGTCTGACCGCATGTCAGACACGAGCCAAGAATGCGCCCTTATCCCATCAAACGATGACAAACTTGAGGATCGAAGAAAATCGTAGTCTCATTTCAAAGAAACGCGGAGGAGACAGGACAAAAAGGCAAAGTTAGCTGACCACGTTACCGTTACGTGTTGATCGTTCCCGCCAACTTGAGTGGTGGCGGCAAATTGGCTGGTGTATATGGGCTTGACGCTGACGTGGCCGCATTGAAGACACTTGATTGGTTTCAGTTGGTCTATTATGAACCCCGCGAATCCGAATGGAGATGCCTGAGGACAAAATGTACCAGCAAATCTGGCGACCCTAAACGATAGGAAAACTGTAACTATTTACATATTTCCAACTTTCTGTGAACAATCTGTAAAAACTACTGGCTACTTTTCAGGCCTAAAATGACTAGAACTAGCTGTACAAACCACAAATTCATGAGCGCTTTCACAAGGTTCTCGTTGAATGGGCTACCAGGAGGGTATCGAACTGGGAAGTCCAGCAGGGTGCCTTTCACCATAACCGCCTTGCGATGGCTAAAGCAGTCAAACGAGTGCTTCCCATGGTAGCTGCCCATACCACTGTCTCCCACTCCACCAAATGGCAACGCTGGATTGACAAACTGCACAGCCAATTGGAGTTGTGCAGTCGGAAACAGGAGCACATGAAAGTGAGAACGGAGCAGAAGCGGGAACGCATATACAGGAGTGAGGGAGCTGGTACTATTTCTGCCGCCACACTGACAAACAGACAAGGACCACTGAAAAAGGGAAGTTGAGGGCGTGGAGAGGAGAGGGAGCGGCCCAATGCTCACATGCGAGGTGGTGTCGTTGACGCAGACAGCCCCCGACGAGGTCTCCTTGACAAAGCGGTCGATCACGGTGCTGTGCGTTGTGAACAGGTAGAGTGCCAGTGGCTTGGGGCGGCTGGCTATGATGCTGATTGCCTCGTCCACACCTCGCACCTGGAAGAGCGTCATTCCGGAGGGGAGGGGAGGGGAGGGGAGGGGAGGGGAGGGGAGGGGAGGGGAGGGGAGGGGAGGGGAGGGGAGGGGAGGGGAGGGGAGGGGAGGGGAGGGGAGGGGAGGGGAGGGGAGGGAGGATGGGCTTGATATCGACAGAGGGCAACAGAGGCTTGAGCCATGATGTGTCTACTACATCACCACGCCTTGCACCTGGAAGGAAGGACGTCAAGATCGAAAGCCTCTAAGGGCTTGCACCTTGTCACCACTGGGTGAAAGAAGATGAGAGTGACACCGATCAAACGCCTCTAAGAGGGCACTGGGCTGGTTGACATCTGCTCGAGCGACGATCCCTGTTATAAGCATGACACAAGGAGAGGTGTATCACTGCGGTGGTCTCGGTGGTCCACACGTGGCGATGGAGGTGTGTCACTGCATGCACATGATGGAGGTGTGTCACTGCATGCACATGATGGAGGTGTGTCACTGCATGCACATGATGGAGGTGTGTCACTGCATGCACATGATGGAGGTGTGTCACTGCATGCACATGATGGAGGTGTGTCACTGCATGCACATGATGGATCCCTGTGAAACGGACTTGTCAATGTTAGACAGGTGGGCTGCGGCGGGCGGAGGCCTCACCTGCATCAACTTTGGTAGGTATGTGCGCTTAAGAGATGCACCCCATGATTGAGATGGAAACGTGACCATGGCTAGAGAGAGCTTGTGTGTTTTCAGTGCATCGTTTCAAGGACTGCGGGCCCGCGGCTGTGCACACGTGGGGATGAGGGTGTATCACTCGATGCACGTACATGACATGAATCACTGTGAAACGGCATGGTATGCGAGTGAGTGACAATGGTAAAATCTGTGGGACCTGGATTCAGCATGCGATTCGAGGCGCCTCTTTTTTTTGTTTGTTTGAGGATTTTAAAGGCGCCTCAGAAACGGCATGATATGCCGGTGACTACTAGATCTGCGGGACCTGGATTCAGCATGCATGCATGTCATGGTTCGATTGTCGCTTCCACAATGCTAGCATGCATTTTCACCGCTGCCTGCCGCACCAACGCACCTGGCAGCACCAGGCAGCACCTGCGCACACACACCTTGAGAACGGTGATGATAGGGTCCAGCGCCCTCCTCCTGCATTACTGCATGCACCTCAACACCTTGCAGCACCTGACTGCACCGCACAGCACCTACGCACACACCTTGATGACAGCGATGACGGGTCCAAAGCCCTCCTCGTGCATCACTGGCGCGTCCAGAGGCACGTCTCGGATGATGGTGGGCGCGATGTAGCTGGTGAGGGCGAGAGGGGTGGGGTGCGGTTGGGAGAGCAGGGGGGATGAGTGTAGATGGGATTGAGAGGGGGAGCAAGCAAGCAAGCAAGGCATGCGTCGAGGGGCTCGCGAGTGAACGTGGGCGCCAGATAGCTGGTGGAGGTGGGATGGGGGGTTGGGATGTGGGGATGGAGGGAGAGTCGTGCCGTGGGGTGGATACACAACGTGCAGAGGCACATCGCGGATGATTGTGGGGTAGACATAGCTTGTGGTTGGGGGGGGAGGAATGGGGGTTTGGAGGTGGGGATGTGGGAAAGGTCGTGGGAGGGATGGGAATGAGGGAGAACACGCCTCAAGGGGCACATGATGGATGATGGTGGGCGCCATGTCGCTGGTGGTGGGCGGGGTGAGAGGCGGGAGAAGAGGCGGGAGAAGAGGGGGGAGAAGAGGGGGGAGAAGAGGGGGGAAAGACGGGGGGGCGGAGGGATTAAGAGGGGGAGCAAGGCATGGGTCCAGGGGCACATGATGGATGATGGTGGGCGCCATGTCGCTGGCATTATGGAGGGTGCGAGGGGCCACGGAGTGGCGGAGAAGAAAGGGGTGACATGGGGAGCAGGGCAGCACGTTCCAGAAAGGAGAGGAGAAGAAAGGGGGCAAAGGATCAAGGTTCACGACGGGAGTAGCAGCAAGCTTATGAGAAAACGCTTAACCAAAGGATCCAGACTTGTGATACTTGTTTTGAGACGTCTCAAAACACTTCTTCAAATACTTGTTCCTAGAAATGAAAAGAAGATCTCAAAGCCTCCAAACCTCGAAAACCCCGCTAGTAATCACAAACCAGTTTCGGCTAAACGGGACAGAACCCCGCTAAGCCTTCATCAGTGCTGCTTTCCAGGTTCACAAGAAAGAGAAGCCTCGGACAGGAGCTAGCTAAGTACCTGCTACTGCCCTGCCCTCGAGATCAGCTTATTGTACACCAACTACCCAGATTACAAATCAGAAGCAATCGCCAACTAAGCAGGGGGTAACCAGTTTGGTAACCGATTGCTTCGCGAAAAGTCTTCAACGACTTGATCGGTTTGGTAACCGCACACGCACCAGTAACCTTTGCAGGTTACGAGAACACTTCCAAGCAGTTATAATTCTGTCCACATAAAATCTGCGTGAACTGAGACGACTGTTGAGGCGCCTCAAAAGGACCCCCAGCCTGAGACGAGCTGTCAACGGAGGGAGCAGAGTCTTCAAGACCAGGGGGCCGCGGGTGGGGGGAGAGATGAGTTTGAGTGCTTGGCGTGTAACGGTTTCCTCCAAAAGGAGGCGTTGGTGTCGGAAGAAAACAGAGCGAAAGATGGGCACAAGGAAATCTCCAGGAGAGCCGCGACTTCTAAGCCGTTGGAAAAGCGCGTGCTTAGAGGCGAGAAAGGACCGGGAAGATGTTGCACGGAGTGAGTACCGCTTCCGTTCCGCCTTGATGTATTAAATCTTGCAGTGTCGCGGGTGAAAAGAAGAAAAGGGGAGGTATAGGTATCGGTTCATAGGTTTCTGAAACACCTTCAGGTCCAAGACACCTTTCTCGGCAAACCGTGGCCCCTTGAAGATGACCATTTCTTGCTCTCATGCGCTTGAAGATGGTCAAGAACGTCAGCCGAAACATCTGAGACTTGCCACGTCAGTTTGATGTTGGGGTCGAGCTGGTTGAACATGTTCAGGTAAGCTTCCAGCTCATCCCTTGAACCAGGCCAAACAATCAGGCCATGGTCAAGTGGATGAAACAGGGGAGGAGAGAGAATCCTGCAGAACCTTCAACAGCCGGTTTTCGAGTCGACTCAGAGAGAGAGGAGAAGAAAGGGGGGGCGGGCAAGTGGATGAAACGGGGAGGAGAAGGCCAATCCTGCAGAACCTTCATCAGTCGCACTCACTCCCTTTCCCCCATTTCACCAATTCCTTAACACTTCTCTCTCCCTCCCCACTTCCCCCATTTCCCCAGTAGCTGTGTCCTGTGTTGTCAACCGTACCTGCCCGCCTTTTCGCCCCCAAATAGCCGCAACCCCCCCCCCCCCCAGTGTCCCCCCCACACCGAGTGGTCTCGTCCATCGCTGCCCCCCCGCACCGAGGGTGTGTTCCCTGGTGACCGGGACAGACAGCAGGCAGGGCATGCAGCCGCGCCCAGTTGTGTGCGGCTGTGTCATCCCTGGCAGCCCGCCTTGACAGCCAAGCACACACCTTCTTTCACGTGACAGCCAAGCACACACCTTCTTTCACGTGACAGCCAAGCACACACCTTCTTTCACGTGACAGCCAAGCACACACTGTGTAGCCTCATCTGTCTGCCGCCCCACCACGATGTGCTCCCATGCCTTCTGAGATTGAGACGTCTCAAAAGTCACGATGTGCTCCCATTTGACTGGATCGGAGAGCAGTGTGTGCAGTGCAGCAGAGGCCAGCTGTCAGGAGTGGCAATGTGCCCCCATCCATCCTTATGTATTCCCTCCCCCTAGTGCCACCTTCCCCTCGCTCACAGCCATGTGTGACATTGTAACGAGTTGACTTGAGTCGACTCAAAAGGCAATGTGCCCCCATCCATCCTTATGTATTCCCTCCCCCTAGTGCCACCTTCCCCTCGCTCACAGTCATCCACATACCGAGTGGCTTCATCCGTCTCTCCGCCAGCGACGATGTGCTCTTTGGTAACAGGGTCGGAGAGCAGAGCGTGCAGCCGAGCCCAGCTGCCAGGCGTGGCGATGCGCGCCAGGTCCGGACTCTGCTTCGGATCCGAGCCATAGAAGGAGGTCAGGGTGCGACGCAGGTGGTCGGTCTGGTGGGGCGGGGGTGGGGAGAATGGGGTGGTGGATGGAGGGGCGCAAAGGGGGATGTGTGCTGTTATTATTTTTCTCTGAGAACTGGGGAATTGGGGAAGTGAATACTGGGAAACTGGGGAGATGGGGAATTCGAGAATTTGAAGAAGGGGGGTCGGGAACACACGAGGAGGCAAGACCGACAGGAACACACGAGGAGGCAAGACCGACAGGAACACACGAGGAGGCAAGACCGACAGTGGATTCAGGGGGGTGGACGCGCATGCTTGTGTATGGATGGTTGGTTGCAGAATGGATAAGGGAACCCAACAACGGGTGCAGAGGGAGTGTCACAGCCATGGGGATGAGAATAGGCCCAATCGTAAGACTCAGCTTGAGCTGACTTCACTTGACACACATTGCTACTCTCTCCCACCCACTCCCATGCACCGCGACTCACGAACTGGTCAGCCACAGCCTCCTCCACGAGCACGTAGTCGGGCGACAGGCAGCTCTGCAGGTTGACTTGACTTGACTTGACTTGACTTGCTGCATATTCTAACTCCCATCCACACACGGATCCGGCACTCACGAACTGGTCAGCCACAGGCTACTCCACAAGCACGTAGTCAGGCGAGAGGCAGCTCTGCCCCGCATTCACTTGACTTGTGACGCACTGCTACCACCCAGTCTCATGCACGGCAGGCACTCACGAATTGATCGGCAACAGCCTCCTTGACCAGCACGTAGTCGGGTGAGAGGTAGCTGTGGAGGCTGACTTGACTTGACTTGACTGGACTTGACGCACTTTGCTACTCTCTCCCCCACCCACTCCCATGCACCGCGACTCACGAATTGGTCAGCCACGGCCTCCTCGACCAGCACGTAGTCAGGCGAGAGGCAGCTCTGCCCCGCATTCACACACATGCCGAACGCTATCCGCTTCACACATATCTGACACGCAGGAAGGGAGGGGAGGGGTGGGATGGGGTGCGTGGGAGGGGGTGTGTGTGCGGAGGGAGTTGCATGGGGGGGTTTCATGGGAGGAGGGTGCATGGGGTGAGAGGCAGCTCTGCCCCGCGTTCACACACATGCTGAACGCTCTCCTCTTCGCACATATCTGACACGCAGGAAGGGAGGGGTGAGAGAGTTTGCACGGGGGGGGGGATTCGGTGGGAGGGGGGACGGAGGATTGGGGTGCAGAGGGCTGGAGTTGAAGGAGGAAAGAATGAGAGGAGAAGAAGAGGTGATGAAGAAAGGGGACTTGAACGAGGATGATAATGAGAAACGGGATAGTCGGACTTGATGGATGTTGGAGAATTTTGAGACGTCTCAGATGTTCGAGAACTCCCAGAAACACCCTAAAATTTCACTCCTTCCAAGACTCGGACTAGATGAATGAATGTTTGGAAAAAGAGGGATACTAGGCAGTGGCTTCTTTGCCCCCTCCTCCTCAGCTCCAACGAAGTTGCCAAGCTTAGTACAGGAAAGCAAAGTTCACAACACACTTCATCACGTGGCAGCACAGCGCTAAAAGAAGTGAAACAGAAATTGACATTGAAGTCCGCGGAGCGGTGGATGTAGGCCGGGGGTTGAGCGCACAACACAAAGCATCATGAGCCAAAGGTCCGAGCAGAAGAACGTGCGACTGACATTGAAATCCGCGGAGCTGTCGATATAGGCGGGGTTCTTCCCCCCCAGCTCCAGCGCCACTGGCGTGAGGTGCTGCGCCGCTGCTGCCAGCACCCTCCTCCCTATCGCTGCTCCTCCTGGGAGGAGTCGAGATGATGGAGGGTGACGTGGAGAGTATGCATAACGTAGAGTACATAACGTAGACAAGTGCAGTGCAGCATATGAAGTGCACATATGATGTAGGCAGCATATGAATCATGCAGCATACGTCACATGCCCACATCCATCCACCACGCAGCAGACACTGTGACATGTCAGAAGCACCCTCACGATTCACCCATCCATCCATCCATCCATCAATCCCACGTGTCATTCAGAAAGGAGGACACCTGTGAAGAAGATCTTGTCCCATCGGCACTCCAGGAGAGCGGTTGCCACGTCAGCACCGCCCTGCACCACGCGCACTGCCTCCTTGTCCACGTAGCGCGGCAGCAGCTCTGCCAGCAAGGCGGACGACGCGGGTGCCAGCTCAGACGGCTTGAGCACCGCCACGTTGCCCGCTGCTATGGCCCCGATGAGTGGGTCCAGTGAGAGCACTGAGAAGGGCGGGGGGGGAGGGGGTTGGCACATGAGGGAAGAGAGAGAAAGTTCGTCCTTCACAGCTCAGAGGGCTTGAGCACTGCGACGTTGCCCGCTGCTATGGCTCCGATGAGAGAATCTAATGAGCGCACTGGGAGGCTGCAGGCGCGGGGAAAAAGGGCGTGCACTTACAACCCGCAGCCTGGGTGCACTGATGGTGGTGGGAATGGAAAGGGGGCTGGACGGGGGGATTACACAATGGCAGGCGCCAATGCACAAGGGAAGGGAAGGGGAGGGGAGGGGAGGGGAGGGGAGGGGAGGGGAGGGGAGGGGAAGGACGATAGCGGGAGGAGACACAGACAGACACAAGGGCAAACGCACGGCTCCAATAGAAGATAAGGACGGAATACTGGCCAAGAGGCTTGGCTCAAAGAAAGAAGGGCATGATGGTAAGAAGCTGGGTGAGAGCCATCGTTTACAAAATGGAATGTTCCAGGCAGCGAAGATGAGGACGGCTCCAAAGGGCACATGACTTGACGTGACAGAGCCTAACCCAGAACCCCAAGTAGGAGCGCTGACGGGGATCGCTCACAGAAGGGCATGTTCCAGGCAGCGAAGATGAGGACGGCTCCGAAGGGCTCCGGGACGATCTCACTGCGCGCTGGCATGTTGACAAAGTTGGTGGACACCTGGCAGTCTCGGATTGGCAGAGAGGGGGCGAGATGTGGGTGCAAGCATGCAGGCAACAAGGTGGGAAGAGTTGAGAGTGAGAGGACAGCACAGTGCAGAGGAGCAGCATGGCATGGCATGGCATGGCATGGCATGGCATGATATGGGGTTGGCATGGAATGGCATGGTATGGCATGGCATGATATGGGGTTGGCATGGAATGGCATGGCATGGCATGGCATGGCATGGCATGGCATGGACACAGAGGCAAGTGGGAGAAATTTTGCAAGAAACTGGCCCACGTGATGACTCCTGCAATGCTGAAGGCAACTTGACGCTCCTAGGAGAAGACAGGAAAACAGCACCCGAGGTGGTTTGGAAAAGCGGAAAAGCATGACAGGTGGCACACAGAGAGAGCGCCAGTCATCCCTGGCGGCCTGCCTTGCTACTGGCACACCTGCACCGTCTGCCACACGCATGAGCACACGTGGACCGTTCAAGAAAGCCTTAACGGACAGCTGAGCTCACCCGTTCAGGCTTCATCCACTGCCGCACGCTACTCGCGGCCTGCCTTGCTGAGTTGTACACCTGCGCTGTCTGCCACACCAACGAGTGGGGGAGTGTGGGTGGGTGCGTGTGTGCGTGTGTTCATGTGTGTGTGTGTGTGTTCATGTGTGTGTGGGTGGGTGCGTGTGTGCGTGTGTGCGTGTGTGTGTGCGTGGGCGGGTTGGTGTGTATGTGTGGCAGCAACAAGACAACAAAGGGTGTGATAAGGACAGGTGAGCCGGGAAATGTGCATGATTGGGCCCTCTTCTCTTCAACGCAGCCTCTAAACCTTCACAAGCGGACAGATAATGACAGGTCAGACCGCGACTCGAAAAGCAAGGGGACAACGCGGAACGCGGCAAGGCAAGGCGAGGCGAGGCGAGGTTAGGAGAGGCGAGGCAAGGAAATGCATCTCCAAAACCTCCTTCCCCCTTCCAAAGAAAGACAATTAGAGCCTATTGGCTTAGAAGCGCTTAATTGCCGACTCTATATCCTAAGCTCTTTTGCTTAGAGCGTCCTGGAGCCAACTGACTGGAATTGCCGCGTTCAAGAATCTTGGAATCTGTAAAAAAACTCGGAATTCTCAACGCGGCAGAGTATGATAGCTGTGACCCTGACAACCAAGAATCGAAGATTGATTCGTCGCTACCACGAATGCTTGCGAATTTCTCGCCAGCCGCTGTTCTTTCGCTAACCTCGCAGAGGACGTTCTCGACGCGGCTTCGCTTGAGGTCTTTCGCGAGCGCTGCGAAGATCGCCTCCTCCTCGTCCATCATCAGCCGCTCGATCCCTCGCAGCTGCGTCTCCCGCCATTCGCGAGATCGCGTGCGACCGCTGCGAAACACCTCTCGCACGCTAGCGACGAGTTCAGCCGCATCCTTGCTTCCGAACAACCCTTCGCTGGAAGTTTCCGGTGCTGCAGTCGGCATGGCTGACGGGTCTACCGCGATTGATCTTATCGCGGACGCGGACGTGCTTGCAGAACGACTACTAGAACTGCTAGACGAGACGGAAATCACGCCGCTAGGGTGCTTTTCAACACGAGAACGAGACAATCTCGGTTCGCGGAGCAGACGAAGCTCACTCTGCTTGGAACGTCTAGCCGCAGCGGTTGCAGGAAGCACAAGTGAAGATGAAACTGAAAGCAGTTGTTTGGCCATGGCTGGAGTTGGTGTCGCCGTTGCTGCAGAATTTCCGTCAAGGAATTTGTCTCCACTCTACCGAGGATTTCCCAGATTGCCGGCACAGCAGGCATCCAGCGAGGTGAGCCACGTTGGAGAATCTTCACAACGAAGGTCCACTCTGGCCCACTGACAAAGCTTTGTTGAAGCATGCTCTCCACGTGTTGGTTTCAGAGTGGTCAGGTACAGAATTGTGTCGAGTCCAACGAACGAAGCTGTCGTTGTAAACGAAAGATCGCATCCGATACTGAATACAAAACCATACATAACTCTTGAGCATGCCACAAAACATCATAAGTCGGGCACAACAAAATGGGTTTGATTCAGAACACGACAGAGTCATCCAGTAGGCTGCCCAGGGTTGTTTGCATGACTGACTGTAGAATCAATATGTTACTAATATTACCCAGTTAGGAAGGCACAGCTTCCCAAAACCAGTACTTTCAATAAAAGAGTTGCACAAGGAGATGATGCATGCCCTTCCTGTACCCTAAAGGCTCATCTTGTGCTCTTGTGAGATGCGAAATCCTGGTAAAAAAGAAGGATAGAGACAAGCGGCAGAAGAAGGGAGACTGGAATGAGTGATGGAGGGTGGCACGGAGGAGACCAGAGAGGAGATTGGGAGTGAGGACAGGGACAAATGTACGGTAAGCGGAAAGACGACCGGGAAGGGAGAGGGAGAGAGGGATGAATGAAAGTGGGGAGGGAAAGAAGGAAGGGAGATTGCTTGTGAGAATTGTAATACCACACAGTCGCTGCAGCTTTTCTGCTTTCACTGGATTACACTGGCATCCTTCCTAACATGGGGTACATGGTGGCTGGCAAAGCAACAGATCCAGGTGCTGCAGGAAAACCAGGAACAGAATCAAGGTTCTCCAAGAAAAAGCGGAACAAAACTGAACACCTTGACATAAAACCACAAATCACATAAAACCCACAAAACGAGACTCACCATAATTGGCACATCGTTGCATGGTAATGTCAGACGCAGTATGGTCTGTCAGCTTCTGAGGTCCGCACCATTGAGCATCATGTAGTTACGCTCTCTTGCTGTCACCACATATGGTCCCCTCTGCCCAGCTGTGCCGTCGTGATTCCTCCAGCAGAGGCTCTAATCTAACCATGTGTTATCCTCACTACTATTGGACCACGAATACGCTTCGTCTCCATCAAACCACGAAGTTCCAGATCTCTGATGGGGTAGCATCTCGAAGTGAATGTTAAGCGCCCTCCAAGTCTCACTTGTCTGCTCCAATCCCGTCAATTCATCGCGATCGCCTTCCAACACTCTCGAGGTCCTTAGATGCTGACAATCTCGAAACACATTTCTCCCGTACAAGCCCGGACACGCGATGATCACGAACGACTTGAGGTTACTGAGTCTGCTCATGGATTCAGGCAAGGATCGCAGATTCGGCCAGGAAGACAATGTCAACCGTTTCAAGCGTGAAAGGTCCCCAATCTGCTGTGGTAGTTCGGAGAGGCAAGGAAAGCCGAACAGGTACAGGGTCGAGAGTCTGGGCAGCTGGCAAATGGATGCTGTGAAGTCTTTGGTGAGATGTACTCGACCTGCCTTGTCTCTGACCTTGCAGCTGCTTGGCCAACCAAACTCGAGTGTTCTGAGGCTGCTGCAGTGTTGGAAGAGAGATGGGTTGACTTTTCTGATGTTGTTGCACCGCTTCAGGGAGAAAGTCCGAAGAGTGGTCAATCCTGAAATTGAATCTGGAAGGTTAGCAAGATGTCTGAGCTTGCACAGTTCCAGATGCTCGAGAGACGGCAGGTGACCTATGGTATCTGGGAGGAGGTCAAGCAATCTGCACCTTTTGATTACCAAGCGACGAAGGTTGAAAAGGCTACTCATGGAGTCAGGAAGCCAACAAAACTTCATGCAATTGTGAATGGTGAGTTCCTCGAGCGAAGTGAGAGAAGAAACCGCGTTTGGAAGGTTCGAAAAGTCTTCACATTTTCGCAGCACAAGGATCCGTAGGGAAGGAAGCTGAAAGAAGGAATCTGGCAGCTTGTAGACGCACGTAGTGTATTTGAGGTGAAACTCATGAAGGTTCTGAAGCTGGCTGATGGTCTCAGGAATGTCAGACAACCATTCCATGCTATTAATGCTGAGTCTAGCCAGCGAGGAGAGCCCACCGATTGAGTCGGGTAAATGGTCGAGGCCTTCAATCCCTGATAACTGTAGCTGGGTCAGTCCGGTGAGTTGACCAAGTGAAGTTGGAAATTCAACACAGTTCAGGCACCTAAGCGTCATGGTCTTAAGGAGAACAAGCTTGTCAAATTGGTCTGGAAAGTTGGCGATCCCGACTTGAATATGAACGTAAGTTAAAGGAAGGGAGAAAAAGGACGGTGGGAGACAGTCGATTGTTGCGTAGAACTGTAGGGAAAGGTGCTGCAGGCTAGTGCAAGCAGTGAACAGTGCGTCCAATCCAGCTTCCGTTATCCTGGCGCCTGGCGATGGACCCCCAAACAACGAGACGGGTCGAGATTCGTGGAGGTCGAAGTATGTCAACTTGGGACAGGCAGAGCCAAGTCCGATGAGGAACTCGTCACTGCAATCGCTGATCCTGCGTCTGTCAATCGTTAGCGATGTCAGTTCCTGGAACCGCGACAAGGATCGAAGAAGGCGGGCGGTTGACCAGAAACATTCGAGACGACCGTTTGCGTGAGACGAGCGAGATGGAGCCATCGCTTGCACACCACAGCGTGGTTGAGAGATGGCTGGTTTAACAGACGGAAAATGTGGCAAATGAGGTCGTCCGACAGTATATCTAACGATGGTCGCGGCAACATGAAACTACGCCGTGACGACGCCCATTGGTCGCGAACCCAGGTCCTTGAGGCTAGATCTCTTCCGGACCAAGACATTGTTAAAACGTTTCAGCAACACTATGTTAGACTGAACTAAACTCGTAAGAGGCAGGGAGATCTGGGTGTCGCTAAAGAGCTAGAAGGAGTGTTGTTTTTGCTCAACGTCTGCAGATAGTCTCGGCGTTCGCTACGTTAGCGATACTCCGATCTATGACCGCTCAGACGGCTTGCTATAAGGCTGCGTTCGATGTTTCTGCTGGAGCATGAGCGAGCGAACTAAAGGGCATCCTCGAGTCTGCTGTCTATGGGTACATGTAAGGATTTACAAATCCTTACTGAGGCACTCGTTAGCGAGGACATCCCGAGGGTCACGCGACGAACCTGTCCTTCCTATTTCGTCGCACCGAACCACTCCCGAGTCGGCCTCCGCTCCAATCGCAACCATCACCGAGCCATCCTCGCCCAACCTCTCCGCCTAGCTAGGACTTCCCCTATTTAGTCGTACCTTTCTCGTTGTATCGTCATTCAGTAATTCAGTAATCAGTCATTCTCGTTATTCGTTTTACTGCGCACTCTGCAAGTTCATTCATAACACCTGGTATCAGAGCTACTTTCCTAGCCTACCCCGCTTTTTAGAGTGTAGTACTCCTCGGGGGGGGGGGACGATGAAGGATATCTTGGGGTCCAGGAGTTGCGTAGGCCGGCCAGGAGAATGAGTTAGTTGCTCCTCGTGGCCATGGTTTTACGGGTACTCCTACGGCACCGCCAGATCCTTACCTCGAACGGTCGCGATCGACCGTGGCCTCCCTCCCCCCGGGCAACGGGCAGCTGTAGCTGTCGCGACGTTTATGTGAGTAATTTCCACTGCGATTTACCGACGATTTCGGAAGTTTTGTGTGGCAGCTGGCGTCAGCGGACCTGCGTCGGCACCTGCACGAAATTCGCGGAGTCGTCAACGTGTGTGGCAGTTGACGCCGTCGGACCTGGGTCAACAGCTGCGCGACAATTTCGGAGTTCGTCTGATGTGGCAATTTACGACGGTGGCTCGTCGTCATTTTGCGCGCATGACTCGCGGAATGTGTTTCGGCAGCTGGCGACAACGGACGTGCGTCACTGTGGGCGACAATTTCGGAGCAACTGTGGAGAAAAAGTCAGCTGGGGAACTCGCCAGGCGCAAATGGAGTTTTGCGTCCGAAAATATCGGTGGACGAGGAGAGACGACACGCGAATTGCCTGAATTGTGCGGGGTCAACTGTCGTCCCGCCCGACCTGAAGTGCAGCGGCTTTTACTGCATGGCGGGCGCGTCATAGAAGATTTCGGCAGGAGTGCACGTGGACAGACGGGAACTTCAGACCCGCCGACACTTATGGGTTGCAACAGAAAACGGAGTGGCTAAATCGCACTCAGGAGGAGTGGGACGCAGGCGGCGAGGGCAATTCGGGCCCATACACCCCGAAGAACACTCGGATGACGCTGCGTGCCTGGTACTGTTGACTACTGGCCGGCAATTTCGAGAGTGGATTTCCTGTAAGGAAGTCATTTTCGGGGACAGCCTCAACAGCCCACGATTAAACGGCGTTCAAAGTACTGCTCCGACATTTACGGAGGAGTTGGTACAGGCCGCCGGGACACACGAGAAGAAACTGCCCGACGGCTAAGCGGGGGTTGAAGAACGGCGTGAAGGGCAGGTTAAAAGCCGGTGTGAACGATCTGTGACCTTCCGTCGCCCGGACCTCACCATCCCCACCAAGTTTCTAGTTCTGACTCATGCAGTCAACTTGCTTGGCCGAATAACGGGGGTGAACACGGGCCTACCCTGTGCTGGTTAACGGTACCTGGATTGGTGCTCGTTCGACAGCTGTACAGAAGAAACAAAAAAAAGTGGAGTTGCTGCACTGTTCTGCTCCGACAAAAGCGGGCTGGGTGA